TGGACTGTGTATAAGATGGTGTTTATCTTCATTTGATTAAAAAAATAATAATAAAAGCCAAAAAAAAAAAAAAAAAAATGAAAAAAAAAAAAAAAAGTACTATGAAGAACCAGAAGTACAAGCAAACTTATGTTGAAAAAAGTATAACCAGAATGTTCCTTAGAAGCCAGGATGACTTGATTTTGTCTCTCATACTTTGGACATATCAGGAGAGACCACTCCCTGGAGAAGGACATCATGCTTGGTAAAGTGGAGGGTCAGTGAAAAAGAGGAAGACCCTCAATGAGATGGATTGGCACAGTGGCAGTAGCGGTGAGCTCACTCATAACAAAAATCGTGAGACTGGCATATGACCGGGCAGTGCTTCATTCTGCTGCATATAGAGTCGCTCTGAGTTGGGACTGGTTCGACACAACCTAACAAGAGCATTCACAAGAAGGTCATTTTGGGTAATATTGCAAGGACCTTTCTATATCTCATAGTACATCATCATATAATTTTGTCTAAATAAATATATGACCATAGCCATTTTATTAAGGAGCTCTGGTAGCATAGTGGTTATGAATCGGGCTTCAGACCTTAAGGTCAGCAGTTTGAAACTATCAGCCACTCCGCGGGAGAAAGATGAGGCTTTCTGCTTCCATAAAGATTTTCAGCCTTCAGAAACCCTAAACAGGGTTGCTATGGGTTGGAACCACCACTCGTCTGTCAGTTTGTTGTACTGTAGTGGCTTATGAGTTGCTGTGATTTTGAAAGTTATGCCATTGGTATTTTAAATACCAGCAGGGTCACCCATGGTGGACAATTTTCAGATGAGCTTCCAGATGAAGACAGAGTAGGAAAAAGGAGTGACGGACTACTAACGAATATTTAGTGACTGAAAACGTTATGAAACGAAGAGAAACACTGTCAGATATAGTGCTGGGAAATGAGCCCCTCAGGTTGAAAGGCACTCAAAATGCAACTGGGGAAGAGCTGCCTCCTCAAAATAGAGTTGACCGTGATGACGCGATTAGAGTAAAGCCCATGGGAGAAAAGCCTGCGGGACCTTCATGTGCTGATGGGGCACAACTCAAAATGAAGAGAAACAGCTGTAAACATCCATTGAAAATCAGAACATGGAATGTATGAAGTATGAATCGGGGACAATTGGAAGTTGTCAAAAATGAAATGAAATGCATAAATATTGATATCTTAGGCATTAGTGAGCTGAAAAGGACTGGTATTGGCCATTTTGAATGTGATGACCATGTGGTTTACTATGCTGGAAATGACAAATTGAAGAGGAATGGTGTTGCATTCATTGTCAAAAAGAACATATCCAGATCAGTCATAAGGTACAACACTGTTTGTGATAGGATAATATCCATGAGCCTAGGGAAGCCCAGTTAATACCACTACTATTCAAATTTACACAACAACCACTAAAGCCAGTGTGGATTAAATAGAAGAATTCTACCAACTTCTTCATCTGAAATTGATCAAACATGCAATCAAATATGCTATCAAGATGTATTGATCATTACTGGTGATTGGAATGCAAAGGTTGGGAGCAAAGAAGAAGGATCAGTAGTTGGAAAATATGGCCTAGGTAATAGAAACGAAGCTGGAGATTGCATGATAGAATTCTACAAAATCAATGATTTGTTCATTTCAAACACCTTCTTTAGGCAACATAAAAGATAACTACACACATGGACCTCACCAGATGGAAAACACAGAAATCAAATTGACTACATCTGTGGAAAGAGATGATGGCAAACCTCCATATCATCAGTCAAAACAAGGCCAAGGACAGACTGTGAAACAGACCATCAATTACTCATATGCAAATTCAAACTGAAGCTAATGAAAATGAAAACAAGTTCACGAGAGCAAAAATATGACCTTGAATATATCACACCTGAAAGTAGGGATCATCTGAAAAACAGATTTGATACATTAAATACTAAAGACCGAAGACCAGAAGAGTTGTGGGATGACATCAAGAACATCATACATGAAGAAAGCAAAAAGTCATTAAGAAGA